GAAACAAATAACATTAGGAGCCGGGACAGAGGAATAGGAGACATTTATTCTGTTTCACTGACTTAATAATCGGTTAATGGAATCAATGAGAAAAATTTAGTTGGCTTCACCTCATTGGACAATATCATCTCAAGAGTAGATAAAAAAGGGATAGGTATTCGAAGTAAAGTAGGGAAATATCTAATTGCGCAAACATGGCTTGGATGTCTACAGTATGGAAAACAAAGTAATCTAACAGCTAAAATGAGGTTTGACTTTATGACCAATCCATTAATAGATCAGGTAAAACTTCAATAAAAAGCATAAGCATACCGGATTAAGGCGCATGTGGATGTTTACAGGTTGAAGAGGAGCCAAAAATGCAGTAACGTCATCCATCGTGGCCGAATATGGAAGTCCACGCATGCGAACTGAGTGCCCAGTAGAGCTCTGCCAGTTTGATTCATATCCACCACCCTCACTTGGGTGTCCGATATTCCAGCCACCAGGAGGGTAATTTCGACCGCTCTCACTACGACCACCATAGACAGCACCAGGCACGCATGGACGAGAATAAGGACCGGGACGTCCACCAACGCTTCCGCCAGACATATATCTGCTACCACTGTAGCCTCCATCATTGTGATATGAATAACCGCTCATATGCGGACCACCACGATAGGGGGGCACATCATCATAATAGGGATAGGAGTCTGGGCCACCAGGATAGCGTCCACTTCGATTTGACATCATAGGTCCAGGACCAGATCCTTCAGATGGAGGCATTCTGCTTTCTACGATCAAAATGGTAGAAATAATAAAATGAGTATTGTTTATTTATTTCCTCGTAGTGCCTCACAAAAAATGAAATAATAAATTTGAAAATGATGAGCTTCATGAGGTATGAAAGGATAAGTAGGCAATACAAAAGGCAGTACTATAAGCGAGTTAGCACATCACCCCGTGATGCCAATCTTCGGATGAGATAACTTGTTTAGTGATCTTTACGAGGCGGTCAGCTAGGAAAAGTGTGACTTCAGGCTAGTAGCCCCCACCAATGATTTTGTTGATTCATAACCTTGTTGTATACTTGAATATTTATTACAATTAAACGAGCGATTGAACAAGGACCCCAGTAGTGTTTAATTTAGATATTGACGAGAATCCCGACAATACGAAGATATGCTATAGCATAGAAGTAATGTAGTTTAAACTCATTTAAATGACTGTAGAAAAACATGCTAGGATCGCCATAAGCAGTCAAATACCAGATGAACATAACTGTATAGAACACTTAGATAATCGAAAAGCTAGCAATGACGATCAGGCACATGAGATCAGAATCGCAAGCAAAAACGTAAGTTATTCTTATGTAGGTAGTATGCATATAAAAGACGAACGTGATTACTAGGAATGTAGTACATACTACCCGAAATTCAACAGTTTGGGCAAAAACACAGGAAGGATGCGCACTGCTT